GGGGAGGCCCTGGGTCAGCTCTGACTGAAGAAAAAGCCTCTAGAAGAAGTGATTATGGCAGCCACACAAAGCATGTTCTCATCAGGCAGAGGGACAAAGTGGGAGGGTGTTGAGCTTTCCTTTAAAATCTCTTGATTGTCTGTCCTGGATCCTTGGTGAAATGGTATCCCCAATCACATGATTTTGACATGGTGAGCATGTAGCAGGCCATGTTGAGAGGAGCAAGAAGGTCATAAGCTGGGCAGCCTTCGCCTGCACTAGAAGCTTGTGGCGTAGACCTGGAGAGTCCTCTCTCTGTCCTAGAACAGGCGTTGGACTCCATCTCGAAGGAGCCCAGAGTGCATGCTAATGGGAGGAAATTGTCAGAAGTACACAGGACAGACCTGGGGCCCTTAGGGTTTCCCAATCACCAAAGAGAACTACATTTCAAGTTCCTTGTTAAAATAGGGCTAATTTGGGTCCTGCTTGTTGACATACACTTGTGATTTGAGGACTCTAGTATACTTCGCCAGATTTCTTCACCTTTCTTTGGGATTGCTGGTCACATGAGATTTTGAGAGTTCACTTCACGCTGAACCACAGTGTCCTTCACTTTAAGATAATGTTCTTAGGAAAGATTACCTCTGATGTCCTGTGGCAGCCCCGTGGGTGGCCCCATAGAGCTGCCCAGGTGCTGTCCCTCCCAGACCACAGAAAGCCCTTGCTTTCCTGGGTCAGATCTAAGTTGTGCACCCCAGAGGGAGGAAGAACTAAGGATTTTTGGTTGAGAAAAACTCTTTAAGGATTGTATGTCTGCTGACTAGCCATTGGATGAGGATTATCGCCCTCCATTTTCCTTTTGCCTGTTTGATTGCTGCAATGACCTCTTCCTCGCTGCTTGAAAATGGGTTCAAATCCCAGCATCACTGGCAGCCTGAGGCACATGGGGAGATGGGAAGAGAAGCGAGCCAGAAGCTGTTGAGGGCATTGTCAGTAAACCTCACTCTCACTGTGTACCAGAAACCTGGATGAGGGGGGCTCCGAACGTCCCAGAACACATCTGCTAGTTTGCCAAACTCCAAACTGTGCACCAATGTTAATCGTATCACAGTATAGTTTTCCAAACTTCAAAAAAGATATGGGGGTGGGGGTAGGAAGCAAGAAACCCAGAAACTTACCTGATGGATCCATATGGATTGGGACCAAACATTTTTATCTTTTAAAATCCAGAGCCACAGGTTGGATTGATGCAGAGTTAAAAGAGCTGACTTCGGTCCTTAAGGGCACTACCTTAGTAGGAATGTGTGTGGGGTGGGTCCCGGAGCCTCAGTTGTCTGGAGTGTACAGTGAGAGTGTCTCCTACCTCACAGGGCTATTGTGAGGTGCCCCGTGACTGCATCCTGCAGACACCCAGTTCAGTGCCTGGCAGCAGTGGGCTCCCAATAAATGCTAAACAGAAACTTGTCTTTTGGAATTAAATGCACTTTTTTTTTTCTTTTTTAGTTCTGGACCCTGAGTACAAAGCTGGGTGATAGAAGTAAAAATATGTGTAATAGTATAATTCACACTATCGGGGTTATATGTGATGCCTTGATCCCTGCCTTTCCTAGTCCCCATACCAGGAGCAGTGAGCACATGGGGCCAGCTGGTCATGGAGGAGGGCTCCAGAAACCTGCTGGCCATGGCCACCCTGTGCACATTGCTCACCACTGACCGGAGGCTCGGGCCCAGGGCCTCCACCACATCCCAGAGCAATTCCTTTCCTGACAAGGATGGGACTTGACTGCCACCTTCTCAGGTGCCACCTGGACCAGCCTGGCCCTGCCCCTCCCAAGATACCAGGAGCTTCATGGCTGCCGTCCCTCACCAAGGAGAGATCTTGGTGACTTCTGCTACTCACAGATTCGTTTGGGAAGGAGAGAAAAGAATCTTCTCTACATCTAGCAATGGGCCACTTACAGAAAAGACTGAAAACGCTTTCGTCACAGCAAGGGAAAATGGGACAATCAGTGATAGGGAAAGTGTCCCTTGCAAATTCCCATTGCACTATGGTTATAATGGCGTTGTGTGTGAGCTATGCTGGTTTTGTTTGTCTCCTGCCCTATATCTTTGTAGATCCTATCTTTTGCATGCAAGGAATGACCAAATCACTCGTTTCAAATGTATATGTGACATTAGCTAGCAGAGCTGAAAATCCAAATACATGAATTTATAAGTGTACTTAAACTCAAGATGGGTACTTCAGTTGGGACTTGTGGTTTTAGTTCTGCGGTGTCAGATGTAAAAAGAAAGTGCACTAAAGTTGGTGTTCTGTTTAGGAAGAATGCTTTATATAAAATTCTCTTTTTTCTGTGAATAACTTATTTCTTACTGAAAATACATAATGATAGCTATTTGCCAAGTAGATTTTCTGATGTATATTTAGTTCCAGGTCATAATCCTTGGCCGATGTTGTACCTTTTCATTCTGTGGATTTTGTGAAGCACAAAAAAAAAAAAAAAAAAAGGATTTTGGGGGGGGACCAGCCCCTACCCTTCCCTG